TCTGACCACATCACAAATTCTGATAAGTATTTTTCTGAGTATGTAAAACTGAAGGATCCCATAGACATTAGAGTAGGAGATGGTTTTTCTTTGAAATCTGAAAAAATTGATAATATTATTATCTGTTTTGAAGTTCATGGCAAATCAATTGAGACTGAAATTAAAAACGTTTATTATGTACCAAATATGAAACAAAACCTATTGAGTATATCTTCTATATTAAATCGTAACAAACATGTAATATTCAAAGATAATGCTGCCAAAATTTATAACAGTGCAGGGAGGTTGATTGCTATCGGTGCACAAAGAGAAAAACTTTTTGAATTGAGTGGTAGAGTCATAGAGAATCAAAATATAATCCCCACGTCATACAGTAGTTCTACAGAAATGTCAAATAAAGAGAAATGGCATAGGCTCCTTGGTCACACAAATTTTCAAGACTTGAAACATTTAGCTGAATCACAATTACTTAAAGGGATGCCTACACAAATAGAAAACGAAGTTATGAAGTGTGAGATATGTTTGGAAAGTAAAATGACGAATGTGAAATTTATAAACGATCGTACTAGGGCAAATGATATTCTTGAAATAGTCCACACAGATGTAAATGGTCCAATAACTCAAACTGGCTACAAGGGAGAAAAATACTTCGTTTCATTCATAGATGACTACAGCAAAATTGCTATTGTTTATTGCATTAAAAATAAGAGTGAAGTCTATGATCGATTTGTAGAGTACGTCAAATTTATGGAAAACCAAACAGGAAAGAAAATTAAAGAAATTCGATGTGACAATGGAACAGAATATATCAACCAAAGTTTCTATGATTTTGCCAAACCAGAGGGCATCTCTATGAGACCATGTCCACCATACACACACGAACTTAATGGGGTTGCAGAAAGATATAACCGAACTATTATGAATCGAGCTCGATGCGTGCTTTCTGAGGCAGAAATTAATAAATGTTACTGACCAGAAGCTATTTACACAGCTGCTTATCTGGGAAATCGATTGCCTGCAAACACGGTAGTCGATAAAACTCCATACGAAATACTTTTTAACAAGAAACCTGATGTGTCAAATCTACGCTTGTACGGAAGTATTGCTTATGTTAGAACTCCAGAGGTAAATAGAACCTCGAAATTTGATCCCAAAGCTGCTAAAGGTATTTTAATTGGCTATACTGATACTGGATATAAGATTTTAGTATATAATAAGGTAATTATAAGTCGACATGTCAAATTTATTGAGAAAGGCACTAGCTATATTAAATTCGAGGATTTAAACAATGATATTGACCCACAACTGAGTAATGACGAGTTAAGTACAAAGGAAGGATAAAATCAAATCAAAATTCAAAGTAGAGAAAATGTAGAGGTTGAGACTGAGGAGGTGGTAAACAATAAGCCAACACGTCCTAAACGAGAAATAAGGATGCCCAAAAGATTCGATGATCACGTTGTTTACGTAAATTTCTCAAATGCTGAAGTACCTATAAATTATGAAGAAGCAGTTAAATGTTCAGACTCTAGAAAATGGAAGTTAGCAATGAAAAATGAACTTGATAGTTTGGAGAGAAATTAAACATGGGCTATAGTTGATACACCGATGAATAAGAACATTATTGAAGTAAAATGGATTTATAGAATTAAGTCAGATAATAAATATAAAGCTCGTGTTGTAGCTAAGGGCTTCCAACAAATCTATCAGGAAAATGAAGAAATTTATTCACCAGTAGCAAAAATGAACACTCAAAATTTTGTTGTCCACTGCTTGTGTTAAAAGTTGGCAAATTGAACAAATGGATGTTGAAGCAGCCTTCTTAAATGGTGCAATCAAGTCTGAGGTTTATATCTACCCCCCCCCCCCCCCCCCTTATGAAGTTGGTGAAGACAAAGTATGTTTGTTAAAAAAATCGTTGTACGGATTGAGAGAAAGTCCACGCGACTGGTACGAACGTTTTCACGATTATATGTTAACAATTGGATTTCAAAGGTCAAATTATGATTATTGTCTGTATACAGGGGTTATAGATGATTACGTAGATGATTTATTAATCTGTGGAACTGATTCAAAAGGTATTAAAAAGGTTAAATTAATGTTGAGTGAAAAATTTCGTATGAAAGATCTGGGTCGAGCTAAACAATATTTGGGGATTGAGATGAAATATAATCCGATTGAACAGAAATTGATGCTGAGTCAGAGAAATTATATTGAGTCTTGCTGAGAAATATGATGTTAAGTATTCAAGAAATTATGACACACCTATGGAGATAAATTTAAAACTTGAACCAGCTGAGAGTGAAGAAGTCAATGTAAAATACAGAAATCTGATAGGAGCTCTATTGTATGTGGCGAATGGAACAAGACCGGACGTATCTTTTGCAGTCAATTATTTGAGTCGGTATCAGAGCAGCTATAGTAGCACTCATTTTATTTATGCATTACGTGTTCTAAAATATCTGTACTGTACTCGTTTTTTGAAGTTAATCTATGATGCCGAGTATAATGAAGTGATAGAAGTTTATGTTGATGCTGACTGGGCATCGGATACAATGGACAGAAAATCGACAACCGGGATATTAATACGTATCTATGGAAACATAATTTTGTGGAAATCTCAAAAACAAAAAATTGTATCTAGAGCCTCAACTCACGCAAAATTTTATGCACTTGCCGACTGTGTTGAAGAAATTTTGCCTATAAGAGGTATTCTAGCTGACTTGGACATAGAAGTAGACAGAGCAGTTGATATTTATGAGAATTTTGTTAATGATTACGAGAAGAAGGAAATAATTAATGTTAAAAAGGTATCCACTGATGATCAGGTCGCTGATATTTTGACTAAACCTTTAGGTAAAATTAAATTCCAAAAATTCAGGGATCTACTAGGATTAAGAATGTTGTAAACGTTATTGAAAAGTATGTTGATTATTAGGATACAAAATCAAGGTGTGTTGAAGTTATGATTTTGTATGTGCGCGGGATGCCATTGGTAGGAGTGACGGGAACCATATTGGGGTGTATCTTCTTTAGGTTGGTGTAAGTGACACCTTTTTTCTAGATGTTCTGCTTTTTTCATATAAGGAAAGAGTAAAGAGCACGTTGCCTTTATGTGTCGTTAATAAAACAAATCATTTAACTTTATAATAAATATATATTCATCATGATTAAGTAGTCCATTATTTCTAACATATACACCTTCATTTCTGAAGCATTTCTCGATATCGTTCAGGAAGCGAATGAAAAGCTGAGGGCTTAACATCTCTCCCTGGAGAATACCCTCCATAATCTCAAAAGAATCAGACAATTCACCCGCTGACCTCACCCGCAATGAAGGGCCATCATACAAGCTCTTAATAATTCTAATGAATTTAGCACTAACGCCCAATGATTAGAGTTTAATCCATAGCAGTGAGTGGGCGATTGATTCGAAAGCCCTACGAAAATCTACAAAATGAGTATACATAGGACGTCCCATCCGACCGAGCTGGAGTTGGAACGCGACACTGGCAGAGAAAATGTTATCAAGACAGGATCTACCGTGGCGGAAACCCACCTGACATTCAGGCAGGACACCTGAGGAGTCTGCCCAGCAGTCCAGTCTTTTACAGAGAATGCCGATAAATAATTTGGTGAAACAATTCACCAAGGCAATGCCCCTATAATTGACCGGATCCCCCCTGTCACCTTTCTTGTGGATCATAGAAATTACGACCTTTGACCACGAAACAGGCATCTTCTCCTTTTCCACAATCTGGTTGAAAAGGAACAGAACGTAAACCCTCCAATTACCCGGCGGAGCCCTGATGAAATACCCAGAAATTTGATCCAAGCCCGGCGCTTTACCAGTTTTACAGCACTTGATCGCTTCCTCCAACTCAGCCACCGTCATATCACCATCCAAGCTTGGATTCCTCACTCCAAGAATTCTGAAATCATAGGAGATTCGCAGGGGATAAATGTGTCGATAAAAAGCATTCCATTTTTCAATTGGAATGCCCCTCACGAAATGCGTGATTCTGAAAGCCCGAAGGGCAGCTCAGAATTCAGCTACATTTTTTGTGTTACAAAATTTTTCTCGAAGCTCTTGTTCATAGGACCTCTTTCTCTCATTTTTAACTTCAATATAACTATTCTTACAGTCCAGGAAAATTTTAAATTGAGGTTCACAAAAATTCGCCATTCTAGCAGCCTTTAGCGCCTCATTTTTCTCTTTTTTTGAAGCTTGACAAACACAATCAAACCAAGGTTTTTTGGTAATTCTAGATGCTCACGGGGAAAATAGACTTGTACGCACTCGTGTCGAAATTGAAGGCTTACCAACTCTGAGAAACAAAGCATTATATCGGGTCGATGTTGCTACTTTTTTTTCACAAATTAATTATTTTTCATTTATTATTAAAATTGAATGTAAAAATATTTTGATGCATGCACAATGTAGAAAAAAAATTGAATAGTGATAAGAAACACTAACTGACCATAGAAGACTTAAAATATGATCTAAATATTTAATTTGAGGGGACAGAATTTTTTTGTTCAGGGATTGGTTTTCCGCACGAATACAATAGATTCTCCTCTGCTCCACCTCCTACATCAGTCATCGCCGGTTCATCGTTAATGGTGGAGGGAGTCAATTTCCCGAGCTGAAATCCTAGAGAAGCGTAATCCAGGAGTATCCCTGTACTTCAATTCTTTCAGTATTTCATCCTTCATTTTATTTTGAATTGTCATTTGTTCATTTATTGACCTTTCAAATTGTCAGTTTGCTTTTCCTCCTTTATGCATAATGTTTATATTACTATTTTTTATCCAATTTCACTAATCTAGATTAGTATATGAGGAATAAGGGAAGGAATGAGGAATTTCCCGTTGTGCGGTCATACCCGTCGTCCAATTGAGTCATTCATATCTCAACAAGTGCGTAGTAGTAGGGGAGATGCATGAGAATAAGATCGGAGCGTTCAGCGCAACTAAGAGTAATCAGTCAATCCCAGTGATGGAGCAGATAACGTGCGAATTGCTCAGTTTACCCCCCGGTCAAACATCCTTGAACGAGTTCAATCTGCGTCTAATCGCACTCCATCCAAGGTACAGACAACTGATCACCGGTTTTACTGATCAATTTCTGGTGCCTAACAAATTCACCCGACCATAGAGTCTTTAGAAATTTATTTGAAAGGTTATTTAACCCTAGGTCAGTCACCACATGAGGAAAAATGAAAAAAATAAAAATTCAGTAGCGAAGCGGTAAACTATTCCAGTCGATTTCGACTATTGGCCAGTTTTCAGTGAATATCTCGGAATTTGAGGGAGATAGCAAAATTTTTGTCATGACCCTTTTCGCAGCCCTCACTTCGCTCTAGAAAAAAGGTCTGTTTGGTGAGGAACTAGGCTTAGGGTGGATGTGGGAGAAAATGTGGAAGGAAATGCTGGAAAATTAACGTTGAGACGAGTTATAAAAATTTCCGTTTATTCGTGGCATCGAACCACGCCGTTAATAGATAATAGTTGAATTTAGACTGATAAAACTGAGGTGATGTACTGAACGAAACGTTGATTTTACAAAGACTGGTGATGTACTAGGTTACTAGTGAGCTAGGTGAGGTTCAAGAAGCTACTGTACTCGATGAGGTGCGATGTAAGACTAAATTTGGGGGTTTTCACGATCGTCTGACCGCTCAACCGAAGGTTCCCGATGGTGCTCGAGTTGGATGTTCTGGAATTTTAGTCGTGTTTTTAACAAGGTCATTACGAAAATTGCGTTATTTTCCGTAGATTCAGAGATGTTCCTCAAAAACTAAGCTGAGGCCTAAATCGACTTTCCTGGTAGGAGATGAGAAAAGGCCCAGGGTAGGTCGAAGATGGCCCGGTGCCACCTTCACTACTGAATTGTACTGTGTCCATTGAAGTGTCTAAAAAATTATAGTAGCTTTCAGCAGAATATAATTCCCGAAATTCTATAAAAAAAACAAATCATTTTCAACAAAAGAATGACTTTTTCCCATGTTAAATGAAATTATCTGTTACGTGATGTTGCCGGGAACTCGCTAAACGCGTCTGGGCAGTGTAGAGTGAATTCAGCAACGCTGGAGCGTAAATAGCACGTCAACCATATGAGGCCAGACTAGGATTAAGGTGTTTCGTGCGGAAAAGGTAAATAATGGCATTCATCTGGAATTCATATAGAATGTTCATAATCAAAATTGAATTGTCTATGAATTTTCCTAGAATTTTTTCAGATTTCCTTTTCAAGTTATCAACAATTGAAGTCGGTTCTTATACATGCGCTCTTATGGAGATTTTTCTGGTTAGCACGAAACTGCGTTACTATCTGAGCTGATGATATAGTTTCACGCTAAACAGAAAAATATCCAAAAAGCCCATATACACTCTAAAAAAAAGTTACTACTCACCAGTACTGAATTCTACTTGGGAGAAGTTTTCTTGTGAAAAGTTGGGAAACTACTTGTCCCAAGTACTTTTCATGTCCTTGGGTGAAGTACAATATTTGCTAAGCAAGTAGGAAAAGTACTAGGAGGAAGTACTTTTATTACTTCCTGTCAGCATTTTTCTTACTTCTCACAAGTACTTTGAATGCTTGGAGCAAGTAATTTTTCTACTTCTCGCGAGTACTTTTATGACTTGATTCCAGTACTTTTGGTTGGTTATTTT